TCAAAAAAATCAGTAGCCTTCCTATATACAAATGATAAATGAGCTAAGAAAGAAATTGGAGAAAAATCACCCTCTACAATAGCCACAAATAATATAAAAATACCTTGCAGTAACACTAACTAAGCAAGTGAAAGACCTGTATGATAAGAACTTTTGAGTCCTTAAAGAAAGAAATTGAAGGAGATGTTAGTAAATGGAAAGATCTCCCATGCTCATGGATAGATAGAACCAACATAATAAAATTGACAATCTTACCAAAAGCAATCTACAGAGTCAATGCAATCCCCATCAAAATCCCAACACAATTCTTCACGGACCTCAAAAGAACAATACTCAACTTCATATGGAAAAACAAGAAACCCAGGATAGCTAAAACAATCCTTTACAATAAAGCAGCCTCTGCAGGCATCACGATGCCTGACCTCAAGCTCTACTATAAAGCTATAGTAATATAAACAGCTTGGTACTGGCTTAAAAACCAACATATGGATCAATGGAATGAAACTGAAGACCCTGACATTAATCCACACACCTATGAACACCTGATTTTTGACAAAGAAGCCAAAAATGTACCATGGAAAAAAGAAAGCATCTTCAATAAATAGTGCTGACATAACTGTCAACATGTAGAAGATTGCAAATAGATCCATATCTGTCATCATATACAAAACTCACATCCAAGTGGATCAAAGACCTCAACATAGATCCAGTTACACTGAACTTGATAGAAGAAAAAGTAGGAAGTAGTCTTGAATGCATTGGCACAGGAGACCACTTCCTAATAACACCAGTAACACAGAAATTGAGAGCAACAATTAATAAATGGTACCTCCTGAAACTGAGAAACTTTTGTATAGCAAAGGACATGATCATAACACAAAATGGCAGCCTACAGAATGGGAAAAGATCTTCACCAACCCTATATATGACAAGAGTGCTCATCTCCAAAATATATAAAGAACTTAAGAAACTAGACAGCAAAATACCAAACAATCCAATTAAAAACTGGGCTACAGAGCTAAACAGAGAATTCTCAACAGTAGAATCTCAAATGGCTAAAAGGCATTTAAGTAACTGCTCAACAACTTTAGTCATCAAAGAAATGCAAATCAAAATGACTCTGAGATAATATCTTACACCTGTCAGAATGGCTAAGATCAAAAACACTGAAGACAGCTTAAGTTGGAGAGGATACGGGGCAAGGGGAACATTCCTCCACTGTTGGTGGGAATGCAAACTTGTACAGCCACTTTGGAAATCAGTATGGCAGTTTCTCAGAAAAATTGGGAATCAATCTACCTCAGGGCCCAGCTATACCATTCTTGGGCATATACCTAAGGAATTCTCAATCATACTTCAAGGACATATGCTCAACTATGTTCATAGCAGCATTATTCATAATAGCCAGGAAGCAACCTAGATGCCCCTCAACCAAAGAATGGATAAAGAAAAGGTGGCACATATACACAATGGAGTACTATGCAGCAGTAAAAAACAATGGCATCACCGGGCGGTGATGGCACATGCCTTTAATCCCAGCACTCAGGAGGCAGAGGCAGGTGTATCTCTGTGAGTTCGAGGCCAGCCTGGTGACAGAGCTACACAGAGAAACCCTGTCTCCAAAAAAATGACATCATGAAATATTCAGGCAAATGGATGGAACTTGAAAATATCATCCTGAGTGAGGTAACCCAGACTCAGAAGGATAAACCAACACTCATAAGTGGATACCAAGTATAAAGCAAAGGATAACCAGACTACAACCCACAGCTCCAGAGAAGCTAGCTAACAAGAGGACCCTAAGAGGGTCACATAGATAGCCCAGAGAAGGAGAAATAAATGAGGTCTACATGAGCAAACTGGGAGTGAGAGAGCTGAAACAGGAACAGAGTGGAAGAGTAAGGAAAGAGATGCCATGGTAAATGAAAACATCATGGGAATAGGGAGAAACAGGGTGCTAGGGAAGTTCCCAGGATCCACAAGGATGAATGACCCCACCTTAGGCTACTAGCAATAGTCTAGAGGGTTCCTGAACTGATCTACTCTGGTAACCAGAGTAGTGAATACCCTAATTGTCATACAGCCTTCATCCAGTTACTAATGGAAGCAGATGCAGAGATCCATGGCTGGGCACCAGGCTGAGCTCCAGGAGTCCAATCAGTGAGAGAGAGGAGGGATTTTATAAGCAAGGGACATGGAAATCATGATGGGAAAACATACAGACAACCAGCCAAACTATTGGAAACCCATGAACTGTGAACCAATAGCTGTGGAGCCCCCACAGGACTGGACTAGCCCTCTGGATACACGAGACAGTTGTTTAGCTTGAACTGTTTAGGGCCCCAGTGAGGGGGACTGGGATCTGTCCCTGGTGCATAAGCTGGCTTTTTGGAGCCTAATGCCTAAAGTATGACACCTTAAGCAGTCTTGGTGCAGGGGGTAGGGGCTTGGACCTGCCTCAAATGAATGTACCAGGCTCTGCTGACTCCCCATGGGAGACCTTGACTTGGAGGAGGTTGGAATGGGGGGAGGGTTGTGGGGAAGGGTGGGGGTGGGAAGAGGGAGAAGGAGGGACTCTGTGGTTGGTGTGTAAAATGAATAGAAAATTTCTTAGTAATAAAAAAAGTATATGGCCAAAAAAAAAAAAAAAAAAAAAAAAAAAAAAAAAAAAAAAAAAAAAAAAAGAAAATCCAAAGTTTAACATATTAATCAATTGAGTTTTGATAAGATATATTAATCTGGTCTTGGTAACAGTTACAAGCATATGCTATTAAAAGATAATTAAATTGAGGCTCAGCCTCCAGTCCCCTTTGTGTGCCAGAAGCTGGCCTCAATTCAAGGTTGCTCATTACAGTTAATTTGGGCCACTGACCTGGCATCTCCCATCCTGTATGCCCTCTACCCATGGAAGGACCACCTTGTTGTGTCTGCCTGCCTTTAGAGTCCCCCAGTCCTTGTTCCTGCAACCAGAGGGCTCTCTCTGCCTTCTTTCTCCTCCCTCTGTCTTTTCTACCCTATGCTCCTGTCCTGTCTTCCTTGGTTTTTGGTCACTTTTTTTATACTCTGACCAGAAAAAAAAAAAAAAAAAGATAATTAAAATTATCATAGTCACAGGCTCAAAATTTTTAAACTTCCTTTGGATGTTTTCTTTTCTCAATACAGAGTTTTAAAAGATCAGGTTGAGTGATGGATGGAGGGGGAGAATAATGAAAGAGATGACATGATGGGGGAGCATTTTGGAGTCAGGTAGAAACCTGCTGCAAAGGAAACTCTCACAAGTCTACAAGGATGACCCTAGCAATAGTGTATAGGTAGCCTGAACTGGCCATCTCCTGTAATCAGATTGGTAGCTGCCCCCAATTGTTGTTAGAGAGCCATTGTCCCATAACTGATGGAAACAGATGCAGAGATCCACAGCCAAGCACTGGGCAGAGCCTGGAGAATCCTGTTGAGGAGAGGAAGGAAGGATTGTATGAGACATGGGGTTAGGGTCATCACAAAGGAACCCACAGAAGCAACTGGTCTGCTCTTGGAAGATCACTATGGACCAATGGTTAGAATGCCTGCATGGGACCAGCCTAGGCTCTCTGCATGTGTGTGACAGTTGTATGGCTTGATCTACTTGTGAGACTCCTAGCAGTGAGAGCAGGGCCAGTTCCTAATGCTTGGGCTGGCTTTTGGGAACCTGTTCCTAGTGATGGGTTGTGTAGATGAATGGTCTTATTAAATAAGAAACACAGAGCCAAATGCAGAGTTAATAGCCCAAGAGGTCAGAGCAATAGCTAAGAGCTAAAAAGCCTTACCCTTCACTGCCACTGCTGTCCTTCATCTCCACAAGAGACCTACTTCCTGTGTGTTTGTCCTTTTTATTGACTTTCTATTCTGCCTTCTCATTGGTTGTAAACCCAACCACATGACCTCCTCATCACTGCCTGTCTGTACAGACCTCCAGGTCTTCTATGGTTGGTATTGAAATTAAAGGCGTGTGTCTCCAATGCTGGCTGTATTCTTAAACACACAGAGATCTGCCTAGCTCTGCCTCCCAAGTGTTGGGATTAAAGGGGTGCACCACCACCACCCAGCTTCTGCTATGGCTTTCTATTAGCTCTGACCCCCAGGCAACTTTTTTTTAACATACAAATAAAATCACATTTCAGTACAAATAAAATATCACCATAGGGTTGCCTTGCCCAGCCTTCATATAAGGAGAGGAGCTTAGTCCTACCTCAACTTGGTATACCATGCTTCGTTGGCAAGTATGAGAGACCTGCCCCTTTCTGAACAGAGGTGGAAGAGGGATGGATTGGGGAGAGGCAGAGGGGAAGTGGGAGGAGGGAATGCTGTGGTCAGGACATAAAATAAATGAAAAAAATTAAGTTTTAAAAAGTACTTCTTATGCTGGAGACATCTCTGTCCAACCTCTATCTGCCCAGCCCTCTTCATGTGGTGATGCGAAGACCACAGGCCAGAGGAAAGAATGTCCGTGTTTCTGTCCCAGAACCGTCTTCCAGGCCCTCAAGCTTTCCCTTGCCTTTGCTCGCTCTCCTGCCCGGAAGTTTCTGTCTTGTTACGGATGAATGTTCATGTTTATGTTGATAACTTTTCAGGCTTTACTTTTGCTATGACTCAAAGGAATGCACCTGCTTGAGTTTTTTGCAAGACACTTATTAACTGCTTTCCCTACAATGAAGATTCCAATGCAGATTGAAACAGGCAGTGGTACTAATGACCTGTCCTGTCAACTTCAAAACATCCATGCACGCTTCAGGGAGTCGTGACTTGGCTCCATCGGCCACTGCTCAAATCTGCACCAGATCCCGTGTCTGACAAGAACTACTGTCAGTGAAAAGCTTAAGCTCTCCTGCCTACCACCTGTCGCTGGGGGTGGGGCCTTTCCTTCCCCTGGTCTTGAGGCTCCTTTCCACCACCACCCCCAAACCAGCAAGTCGGTGCAACAGGACTGAAAGTTTCAAATGTATGTACAAGCTCCTTAACTTTACCTTCTATCCATAGTCTTTATCTTTCCCAGCAGACTTCCGTCCTGGTAAATTCTACAGAAGTCAACCTTGGCTCTACTACTGCTCCAGAACCAGCTCATCTCTTTAGCTTCAGTGGTCCTGCAAAACCAGAGGGCCCTTGACTTGCTGACTGCTGAGAAAAGAGGCATTTGTCTCTTCTTAAAAAATTCTATTACTATGTAAACCAGGTAAACAAGAGTATTAAGAACTTACATGAGCTGGCACACAGAACTGAACCTCTGGGAACAGACTCTAATGCAGGACTTGCACTGTCATCTCCTTTGGACTCTTGCCTCATGCCTCTCCTCAGCCCTCTGACCTCTATCTTAGTCATAGTAACAGTTGTTCTGGGTCTCTTCAGATGTTTTTCAGGAAAGAAATTAATGAACTGACTCATTGCTCAGTGAACCAGATACTTCTGACAGAATTCCCTCAGGTCTCCTACCATTGCCTGCTGGTTTGACCCCCTGCTCTGGCCCTACATTCCAGACCCCCTTTGCTAATGTTCCCACTCAGCTCAAGTAGTCAGAGGACAACCATGCTTTATCACCAACAAAAGGCTGGCATGTTAGATCCTCAAAGCAGGCCCCAAAGTGGCAGTGCTGACGGCAGTGACTAGTCTCCCACCTGAGCTGGGGTTGCTAGGAAACAGAAACCTAAAGTGTTTGTCAGAAGCCCCTAAAGGCAGTATGAACACTCCTGACCACAACTCTTAGCACCTCATCTGTCTGGCAGAATCCTCAAGCTAACCACCTGGTTCCCCCTGGCTAACCACCTGGTTCCCCGGTTAACCACCACCTGGTTCCCCCGGCTAACCACCTGGTTCCCTGGCTAACCACCTGAGCCGCCTCTCCCTGGCATCAACCCACAGAAAACCAACAAGCTTTGGTAACTGCTGCTGTCCTCCACTGTTCAAGACAGCTAGACAGGATTTTTTTTTATTAAACTGTTCTTTCTCTCCACAGAGAATGGCTATATTTGTTAGTTTTCCTGTGCATGCTTATAATTTGTTCCCTGGAATATTTATTGTAAATGATAATTTTATACTCATAATAAAATCATTGTATGATGATGGGATATAACATTGCTACTGACTTATTAAAGATGTAGTAGAGTTTGTGGGATGCATGATGAGTCCTTCCAGAGTTTTAGAATTTTAACTGTATCTTAAGCTGGTTGGAGGTTATATAACTGTGTGTGTTCATTGAGAAGTTTACATTTATGCACCTTAATTTTGAGATTTTTTTATCTCTTTTGAAATTGAAATAGACAAATAGGCATACTCAGGGACCAAGTTTGTACCATGACTGAGGTTCTCAGCATCAGTCTCTGGTGCTAAATCCAGCAGGTGATTGGATGAACACACCCATCACTGTACAATTAGTCTGGGCTCGTATATTTAAAACCCTTTGACTACCTCCGGCTACAGAAATTCCTCATCTTTTATCTCCAAATATATCAGTGAGAAGTTTTATCTTCAAACTATTTTAATAGGCACTACATGAAGCCTACCTCACAAGAGACAGGAGACATATCCGCTTGCGCAGGTTGGGTGTACGAAACAAGTCCCACAGGGAAGATTTTGTTTGTGAGGCCTCCAGCTCGTCCTTCATGGTGGTTCTTACAACCTTCAACAACAGCATTAATGAACTGTTTAGTTGTCACAAAATGATGGGCATTATGGGTATACCAGGCACCTGCAGAGAACTGTAGCAATAGCAATTGTTTCTGCTGTGGATATCGCTCCATATAAATAAAACATTGATGGCCAGTGACCAGACAGGAAGTATAGGCGGGACAAGGAGAGAAGAGAATTGGGGAAACAGGAAGAAGGAGGGAGAGACACTGAAGCCACCGCCAGGACAAGCAACATGTAAAGATGCCGGTAAGCCACCAGTCACTTGGCAAGGTATAGATTTATAGAAATGGGTTAATTTAAGATATAAGAACAGTTAGCAAGAAGCCTGCCACGGCCATACAGTTTATAAGTAATATAAGCGTCCGAGTGATTATTTTATACATGGATTATGGGACTGCAGGGCTTGGTGGAACCTGGAGAGAAGCCCTCCAGCAACAGTTTCTATCTAGTGAGAAATAGAAACATCAAAGAAGCCATGTCAGCTATAAAACTGGTGAGAAATGTGAACCCAAACAGCTAAAAAAAAATTTAAGTGATTTCTGCAGTAAGGATATGTTAAGCAAGGAAGTATAGATAGATTCAGAACACTGAAGGTAGGGTGTACGTTAGAGATGCAGATTAGGAAGAAAAAAAAAACCAAGTGAAGACTCATTTAGATTATGATCTATAGTGGTTTGACAGAGAAGTGTGCCCCAAAGGCTCAGGTCTTTGAACGCCTGGTAGCCAGTTGGTGGCGCTGTTTAGAAGGTGGAAAGGCTCTGAGAACTCACAGCCTCCCCCTACTTCCAGTTTGCACACTCTGATTTTGGCTTGCAGTTAAAGATACACAGTCTCTCAGCCTCCTGCGCCAGCTCCCTGCTGCCATGCTCCTCCGCCATTACGTATTCTCCTCTGGATCTGTAAGCTCAGGTAAACTTCTGTAAGCTTCTCTCGTCGTGGTATTTTTATCACAGCAACAGAAAAGTAACCAGTACAGAACATATCAGGAAGTAGGCTGCTGCTGTAAAGAATCTGACCATGCTGTTTTTTGGAGGAATATTGAAGACTGTAGAGCTTTGGACTAAAAAAGCTACTACCGCTTTTTTAAACAGAGATGAACGGACCATTCTAACAGGGGTCTGGGAGATAGCAGTGCTGAGGGCAGTGCAGGTGGTGGCAGCCCAGTTGTTCAGGTGTCAAAGAGTAACATCAGCAGCTGGGCTACAGACCTCAGATAGGATACTTTGGCAAAGAATATGGCTGGTTTTTTGCCCAGATCCTGAGAATTTACATGAGACTAAATCAGTGGTTCTCGACCAATGGGTCATGGTCCCTTTGGAGTTCAAATGACCTTTTCACAAGGATCACCTAAGACCATCAGAAAAAAAAAAACAGATAGTTACATTACAGTTCATAACAGTAGCAAAATTACAGTTATAAAGTATCAACCAAAATAATTTTATGGTTGGGGGTCACCACACATGAGGAACTGTATTAAAGGGCTGCAGGACTAGGAAGGTTGAGAACCACTGAAGTAAATTAACAGGCAATAAACTAATTTGAGTCTGTGGTGTGGTTATATTCCTGAAAGCTCTTCTGCAGGTCTACAGTAAAAAAAGAGCAAGTGGAGCAAAAGAAATGCAAAATGTAAAGTTTGCAGAGGAAAAAATAAAAGATCACTAGGATGTTTTGCAACCAAAGCATGTGTTTAAAGAAAGGTTGTAATTGTTAAGATCTGAGCCATTAAGGAAAGTCTTCTTGCCCTTCTTTGGGACAATGGGAAATCTGCTAAAGAGCAAGACCCTGCCATTTAAGCTTCCAGCTTGTAAAAGGAGAAAGCCTAAGAGAGAAAGCACTTGTTTCAACATAAAAGGCTGATGTAGTCAAAGGGGCCAGGGTCCATCCCAAGCTAGCACAGCCCAATTTGGCAGTATTGTACATGTAGTACTGGCTTTGAAGGCATTAAAGATGCAAAAGTGTGGTGATATTTTTATCTGTGTGCCCCAATAAAGTTTATCTGAGGATCAGAGGAAAAAGCCAGCCACTATATTAAACATAGAAGCCAGGCAATGTTAGCATACACCTTTAATCCTATCACTCTGGAGGCAGGGGTCTATCTGGCTCTCTGTGAGTTCAAGGCCACACTGGGAACAGAGACAGGTGTGGTGGCACATGCCTTAAATTCCAACACCAGTTAATCATAAAGGTCTGGAGGTCTGTACAGACAGACAGGAAGTGGCAGAGCTGAGCTGGAAGAGGAAGTGATGTAGCTGGGTGGAGAGGAAATGAGTTGGCAAAACAGAAAGGTATATAGGAGTGGGTATACAGGAAGTAGGTCTCTTTGGAAGCTGAGAAGTTGGTGAGGTGAGGTTAGCTGTGGCTCTTCCTATTCCTCTGGTCTCTCAGGTTTTAACCCCAATATCTGGCTTCAGGTTTTTTATTTAATAGGACCTTTTAAGATTCAAGTTACGCCAGGTGGTGGTGGCGCACGCCTTTAATCCCAGCACTCGGGAGGCAGAGCCAGGCGGATCTCTGGGAGTTCGAGGCCAGCCTGGGCTACCAAGTGAGCTCCAGGAAAGGCGCAAAGGTACACAGAGAAACCCTGTCTCGAAAAACAAAAACAAAAACAAAAAAAAAAAAAAAGATTCAAGTTACAAATCAGATTCTTCCTCTGTGCTTTCAAAAAGCCACTGGGACCAGCCAAATGTGTGCCAGTTCTGGAATCACTGCAATAAGTTCCTTAGAGTCTAGGAGGCCTTCAGAGTCCTTTGCATAAAGCTGTGAAAGGGAAGCCTGGGTTTCAGTGGAAACCCCAAGATACGGGAAGTGCCAGGACCATAAGACATCTGCCAAGGAGAGATGAATACAGAGAGTTGAACAAGCCTAAAAGAGATATATGTTGCAGGTGACAAGTCTGAAATCATAGAGCTAATCTAAGCCTTTGAAATTAAATGTCTAGACACTGGACATGGGACTACAGGATTTGGTGTTTGCTCTGCTATATTTTGGTCCTGCTTTAGTCCAGTGTTTTTTCACTATGCTCCCATTTCTCCCATTTGGAATGAGGATGTACGTTCTATGCCACTGTATGTTAAAACTATATAACTTGCTTTGTTTTGTTTTAAATGGGGGTTACAGTTAAGAGATTTTCTTGAGTCTCAGAAGATACTTTGTCCTTTAGACTTTTGAACAATTCTCAAGACTGTAAATGGCTTGTTTTCAAGTTTTAGGCTAAATGCATTTTACATTATGATATGGCCACGAACCCATGGAATCCAGAAAGTAGAATGTGGCAATTTCAATTAAAAATGTCCACCATAGGCTCATATAACTGAACACTTGATGATGCTATTTGGAGATGATATGGAACCTTTAGGAGGTGGATTCTTGCTGAAGGAAGTACATCACTGAGGGTAGGCTTTAGAAGTTTATAGCCTCACCCCACTTCCAATTCACTCTCTGTTTGCTGCCATGCCTGCCTGTTTGCTGCCATGCCTCCCTCATCATTATGGACTCTCCCTCTGGAATCATAAACCAAGTAAACCCTTTATCACAGCAACAGAAAGTAACTAATATACTATTGGGTGATATTTTGATTGCATTCTGACAATAAAGTTTGCTTTGAGTCAGAGGTCAGAGCTAGCCACTAGCTGACCAAAATTAACCATAGAAGTTTTGGACTGAGGACAGATAGGAGACAAGAAGCAGTAAGGCAGGGCTGTGAGAGGATCTCAGGCCTTTTGGATGGACGAACAAAAAAGATAGGAGGTCACTAGTGGCTTCTCTGCCACTTCTCTGATCATTCAGGTTCTTACCTCAATACCCAACTCCCGATTTTTTTATTGATAAAGAATAATTAAATAAACGCTTCAATAAACTTTACTAGCTTCCTTCTTTTTATCTTGTCCAGAACACAAGCCCAGAGGATGGTGATGCCCTTTTTAAGGTAGTCTTCCTAGTTCATCCTGATCAAGATGATCCTTTACAGTCATGCTCAGAAACCAAACTAATACAAATAACTCTCACAGGTATGCCTGAAAACTTGTATCCTAGGTGATTCTAGAATCTTGTCAAGTTGACCATACCATTGCTTATGGTTTCCTACCAGAACTACCAGTAAGAATATATTACTAAATATATCACATGCCTTACTATCAGGATATAGAGAAATCAAGCTGACATTAAGCTTGAAAGTTTCTCCCTGCTGGCTAGCATTCACAGGACTAGAAAGTGCTCCTCAGGCATCTGCAAAAGAATTTTCATCAACAATTTATTCAGCTGTAAATACTTGTGCCACACTATACATACCAGGGAAGGTATGTCTCCTTGGGCAATGCTGGCATCACTGCCATGAAATTAACAAGCCACTTTCTGATTGAAGTTGAGGCCCTGTACCACAGGAGAGAACTCATATCTGGTGCATTGAACCTAGGTAAAAACCCATAGCTGTACACATTATAGACCTTAGTGGGAGAGTATGGTAGTCTGAATGAGAATGGCCCCCATAGGCTTATGTATTTGAATGCTTGGTCCCCACTTGGTGGAACTGTTTGGAAAGAATTAGGAGGTGTGGTCTTGTTAAATGAGATGTGTCACTGAGTGTGGGCTTTGAGGTTTCAAAAGCTATATCACTCCCAGTTAGCTAGCTTGCTCTCTTCCCACCTACCCCCTTTGTCCCCTCTCCAGTGCCATGCCTTTCTGCCTGCTGCCATGCTCCACACCATAGACTCTAACCCTCTGCAACTGTATTCCCCCAAACTGAGTGCTTTCTTTTATAAGTTGCCTTGGTCATGGTGTTTTTGTCATGGTAATAGGAAAGTAACCAAAACAGGAAGCTACTGCTGCTGTTTTGGGAGCTGTTTTGTCTGGACATAAGGTACCAGTGAATTGCCATCTAAATATCTTTATTTGTGTCCATAGGGCAGTGCTGCTCTCGGCTATGGTCAGAGACGTGCCTTTTTATAGTGGGTGCAGTTACTGCGAACTCAAAACTGGTCAAAGTGCTGAAAATAGGTGGCTATCGAGTGCTGGTTTTTAAATTGGACATCTGTATCACCACTCCCAAGGGTCAAGAAACAATATGAGGGATTTAAGGAGCAAGGGAAGGGGTGGAGTACATAGAATTCTATCTTCAAGGCCTTATATGGCCATTCTACGGCTTAAACTCTTAGAAGTTGTGGTTACCTGCCCGAGACCTGTCCAGATGGTCCATTCAACATTCCATTGTGGGGAGTAGAGAGGCTTGTAAGGCCATTCTCCTTCTTCGGGATTTATTGACCATTGCTAGATGGAAGGGGTCATAAAGGCCTACTGATCCACAAGGCTGATAGTCAGTTAATGATTTCGGGGAGAAGAAAGACATTTTCTTCAACGGAATAGCCACTGGAAGTTGCCCACTGTCCTGTAAATAACATCTTACCCATGCTTCTAGAGTTAATCCTAATTTAACTTCTTGGTTCATACACAAAAAAGACATGAAATGCAAAATGATTGTGTAAGAAGAGGAAGGGGATGAGTGGGAATGAGAGAAGAATAAGAGCAATGAGTGATAAATATGATAAAAATATGTAAAATACATATATGAAAATGTTATAACACTCATCATTATGTATAACTAAGATATGCTAAGAAAAAGTTTTAAAATGAATAAAATCCTGTGGATAAGTTTTTAGAAATTAAGTCCAATAAGCAAAAGTCCCTCTTGAAATAAATATATGTATGCAATATGTATAATAGTGGCTTATTGCATTTTGACACCTAAACATATATGTATCAGGCTTGTGCTTCCTTTGTGTCGTAACAAGTCCATCATGCTCACCTCCATGGTTAGGATGTCTCCAGAATTCTTCATTCCATTTATGTGTGCAACTTTTCTAAGTTCCTTTAAGCTCTTTTGAGGTTTGTTGATCACAATCAGCCACCGAGCCGACTCTGACATCCACCTGCTCAAGAAGATGTTGAAAGTAAAATCAATTTTCATTTGGTCATTTCTTGCACCACATTTGTCCTTGGGTAGTTTTATTATTAGTCTAATGGTTAGTTCATTCTGTTATAGCAGTAAATATAATCCTATGTTGTCTGGTACCTTCACTAGGAAACAATTCACCCATGCAATACACCTGTACTTCTGGAATGCAGAACCAGAGTCATTTTGGTCTCCCTGCCATGATTTGAATGCAAATTTACATGGAGTTCACTGAACTGGAATATAAGGGACACCTATATAGCACTTTGCTTATGCAAAATGCAGGAATGCATTTATTCATATTTTCCTAAGTTAAGAACCTCTGGAAAATTTTGCATAGTAATTATACCATCTGAATTGCATTCATTCCTACACCAAGAACCTGATGGTATCTAGCCACTCATTAAAGATGAACCTGACTCAGTTGCTCACCTATATAATGGAAACTTCAGTACTACAATGTTAATTGATGTGTTGTAAAGATTTAAATTATGTGAATGAGTCTGAAAGATTTACTCCTTTGTCTATAAGAACTCATCTCACTGTATCAGACCTATAAGCACCTCTTAGAGTCATTTCTAACCTTCTCTGTTGATCTAATAGTCTAACACTTTTTAAGTGTTTTTAAAAGAGGAAAGGGTATGATTTTTGCTCTGGGAGCTAAGCCCCACATAGCCTCTTGCACTAAATAGGGGATCCCAGCTTTCCCTGCTCAGGCTCATTCAGGCAGCTCTGAAACTCACTGCACCAACTTAAAGAGGAAAATTACATCTCAATCATACTAAGACTTAGTCCTCTCCTGAATATTGTAAGTATCTCTAGTAAAAGAAAAGGCAGCCTGAACAAAAAAAAGAGGAAGAAATAAACACTCAACCAACAAAGTTCTCCAACTGCTTCAGTCCCCACTCAGAAACAAGACAAACCAAGACAACATGACTCTTCCAAAAATTACTAATCCCAAAATAATGATCCATTATAAAAATGAGCAGAAAAAAATCCCAGACAAATAATTCAACATAATTATCATAACTAGATTTAGCACTTCAAATAATATGTGAATATGCTCCAAGAGAAAAAAAAACAAAGATAGAAATAGAATAAAGTCTATGCAAGATATAAAAACAGAATTCAGTGAAGAAGTAGAATTACTGAAGAAAAACTAAGCTGAAATGCTAAAAATGAAAAACTCAATAATTAATTCAAATAGAAACCTCAGTGGAACCCAGGCTGGCATCAAACTCATGATCCTCCTGCCTCTGCCTCCTCCAGCAAATCCTACTGGCGTGTGCCACTACAACAGGCTGTTAAGCTTAAATTTTTAGTTGGACTCCTAACAATGGGAATGGGGATGTCTCTAAATATTTTGCCTGCTTGTGGGACCTTTTTTCTCCTACTGGGTTGCCTTGTCCAGCTTTGATATGAGGACTTACGCCTAGTCTTACTGAATCTTGTTATGCCACCATCAATTGATGTCACTGGGAGGCCTGTTCTTTTCTGAAGGGAAGTGGAGGAGCAGTGGATGGGGGATGGAGGGCAGACTGAGAGGATGGAAGGGAGGGGAGGCTGTGGTCAGGATGTATTGTATGAGAGAAGAATAAACTAAAGTAAATAAATAACAATTTTGTAGAGAAAAAACTCAGTAGAAAGCCTCATCAACAGAATGGATGATGCAGAAAATGAAATATTAGGGATGGAAGACAAGGTAGAAGAAACAGGTCATTCAGTGAAGGTCAATGATACATTTTTTAAATATACATGAAAGGATTGTTGCTTGCAGAGTTCCACATTTTTTGCCAACTTCAAAGGAAGCTGAGGGCCCATGAAAGGGCCTGTTTTTAACTCCAGGTTAATACTACAGGTGTGTGCCAGTAATCTTTAATTCCAGTGCTCATGAGTCAAAAGCAGACAGATTTCTGTGATCTTGAGGCCAGCCTGGT